AAGGAGTCGAACCATGACGGTGCAGCCTGTAATCTCGACACGTTGATCACTACGCCATATTGCCACGAGTACCCTTCGGCAGATTTGAATTTCAAGGGATGTCAGGCATCATCATCTTTAACCAAATAGGGTGAATATAAACCATCTAATTTACTGGTAGTCTCGAAAACCTACTCAGTTACGAATAAAGGGAACAGCAATGTCAGCAAAAACAAGACGATGAAAGGAGGTAATATTTTTAACTTTAGGAAAAGAAATTATAAATAATCCAGAGAGGAACTATCAGAACTCGAAATGATGAGCCTATTCAAATCAAGTAGAACTATCACATTTTGGAGTCAGAACGCAAGAGACTTGGGCATAAAAAAGTCATAGATATGGCATTAGGGATAGAAGGGCGAGAGATACGGTGGGTGACCATTGATAGTTGGATATTAATAGATAACTTTGGTCATGGACGTGGTCCATGAAGTAAAGGCTTGACCACTCGGTGCACATGTCATACAGTGATAAGGGAATCTGCAGCGTCAAGTTAGGTTAACGTGCCAATAGAGAATCCAGAATTCAGGAGCTTGCTCAGTGAGGCTGGCGTATACGTGCTATTAAAGACTTGAGACAGAGTGTAGAACATAATGTATTGAGTAGCGCGGATACGGTGGCAGCAATGGAGTGAAATAATTGAAACAGACAGATAAAGGAAGGATTCTACAGAGCAAGAGATGGACTGATAAAATCGGCAGCGATTGCATCGCTAAAAATACTGGATGTTTTCCTTGTGGGCTGGACTAAGCTTGAAAATAGTATAACACCGTCTCCTTTACAGGGAAATTGAATGTGTTCCTTAAAGTTTTGGTTCTCATGTCTTTAATTTAGTTGTTATTCCTTATCACATTGCTTGCTTAGAGGTTTTTTATTGCTACATTTGAATTTTATTCAACATTAATGTATCCTTGCATTCTATCTGCTATTCTTTTATTTCAAAGATGGAGCAGCTAAGTCAGTATATACGGTTACAACAGCGTGTATCCGAGCAATTAAGTGCAGTTTTATTGCAGCAACATTCACAGCTTGAGGAGATGGAGGTTGCGCAGCAACGTCGCGTGCACGAGTTGCGATTGTCGCAGTTACAGCGTCAACACGAATCTGAGATGAATAATATGCTTCAGTTGGCCACTCGTCAGGAGAGTGACCTCTCCAAGAAACATTCAATGGAGATAAAAAATCTTCCCAAACACTTAAAGGTAAATTTTTCGTTTAAGTAGGTTTTCGAGACTGTCACTAGATCGATCGTATATATTATATATTTTCAGCCTACATCGTTTAAGTTGATTAAGGACTGGTTATTAAATTGTCCCACAATGCTATAAGTAGGCCTTGCATTTTCTTCGGATTTCACATATTATCAAGAGATATTCTAAACTAGGATGGATTGATGTTTTGAATTCGCCTTGGTCTCATCCGCACCCTCAGTGGGAATCGCTCCGTGATAGTGCAGTGTACTATCTCGACAAGTTACGTGTGCGCTTGGGTAACAGAAAAGATGTAGATTTCAAGAAAAGCCGGGCTTTTCCTCACATCTCTTTCTCTGTTCAGATTGCCGATGAAGCAGTTGTATTTGCCGTAGCAAATACAGGTGGAGTGATAATATGAATATGCCTCATTTCTTTTAATTTTCACTTAGCCTTGCCTATCTAAAGGTATTTTCCGGTTTCAACCTTGTCTGGGTTTCATAAATATCCCCAACACAAATAGAACCCAGGTTATGCAGCACAATTTCAAATACTTGCCACTTCGCTATTCACGTAGTGACAGGGCAGACGCGAATTTAAAAACAGATCGGACCTCCCATATCGCACTTGTAGTGGGATTGTCGATACGGCAAAACTATAGTTTGTCATTAAAATCGACTAAATTGCCTATATTCATAGAAATTAGGTATCGATACTATTAATCTTCAATAAATCTCAATCTTAGTTTCATCACCCCCAATCTTCTGAGCCTATTTTTTCCCTTTTGACCACACTCACATTTTGAACGAATGTGCTTGATGAATTAATTTAAGGGTATATTTCGTGATTTGATTCATATTGGCCAGTTTAATTTTGTCCTTACTGGAATATTCTTGTCCTCAAAGCAACGGTATTTGGCTTTGGCTATGTCTTAGTCTTACTTTACTATTTATAAAAAGTTTTTAATTTGATATTAAGTTGAATACTATTACTATAATGTAAACAGTAGTTTGGTATATTACCTCTATTTTATATTCCTCGACATTAAATATATAAGAAATCAATTTTGGGTTTCACTAAAGATTCCAATTCGTTGATAGGATTTATGGATGGTGCTTCACTGACTGCTGCGAACACTTATTATAGCTAATACTTAGCAAAGCTTAGGTATTTCTGAATTCATTTATGTTTATTCTGCAAAAACGGAATTTTTTACATGGTAAACATTTCATATAGTTTTCTTTCCATTCTTTGACCACATGGATATATTTTAGTACCATTTATTAAACTTAATTGGTCTATTTTGTGATTTGGCAATCCTCTTATCATTTTTCTCGAAAACTGCACTCAATCTACTATGATACAGCAAAAAGAGACACAAATTCGTAAGCAATTTCGAGATGCCGCCCGTATACAAAAGAAGCAATTCAAATTACTTCAAGAAGAGCGACTTAAATTACTACGACGCTCCGATCTATGCTCCAGCCAGCATTCGGTTTGTCTCATGCCTGTGACTAATTCTACTTCAACTGATACTTCCGCGACCAATAATCCCACTTTTACCACTCTTCCGGGCGGACCTTGTTCGACCTCTTCACTAATGCACGTTCATAATGGCCCAACTTCGCTACCTAACACTTCGGGACTTACAGAGACTGGCTCTATCTCTAGTCACCTCGGCGGAGCCCTGAGGAGCGAACGTGAAATCCTAGAAAACCTACGCATTGAGGAGAAACGTAAGCAGGCCGACCTCGAAGCACAGTATGAGAAGAGCATTTCAGAGCTATATGAGCGACAAAATGTAAGTAACTTCTGGACCCATTTTTCTGTCTTAGCTTTATAAGGCATAATCCTATTATTTTGGGCCCAGTACTGACATTAAACATTTGGCAGCTATTAATAGAATGGCGAAAATTGTCATTTTTTGCTTGCCTTTTAGTCAATATTTTTGTGGCAAAAACAATTATATCCCTCGAATTTTTGTGTGGGCTTTTTTAAAAGAGGCTTACTAAACATGTTAGACGTTAATTGATTGTTATTTAATTAATATTGATTAATTGAGAAATCTACCCCTGATCTTTAGCGCATATGGGATATTAAACTGATTCAACAACTCAATATTATATCAAATTAATAAACTGGACTAATTAGCCTACATGCACTATATTCAACGTTTTTTGCCACATCTTAGCGAAGAATGATGACATTATTCTAAATAATCCCCTTTAAATTTAGCTTATTGCTGGTGTCGATACGACATAATCAAAAATCTCTACTTAATAAAGGCTCTATCATGGGCTTGCTTTAGATTATTGTGAATTGTATCGACTTAGATCTTTATTCAAACTGATTAATTGTGTTTACAATCGATCTCTATATATTGATTTACTATGATGCATAACTTGAAATTCTTTCATTGTTTATTCTAAAGTAATGTTGTTTGATCTGTACAAATGTAGCCGTAGAATATGCTAGCTTTTCACTTTATATAGATGACTTAACTCATTAAGAACTTTTTTTGATTATGAAATGAAATATGAGTTTCTTTTAAAAATTGTGATTTAGTTGCATAGGTGATGAAGCATATTTTTTATTCTGATGGGTATTTCACAATAAGCCATTTCCTCGAAGAATATATGTGAAGTTTTCTATTTGTTTTGCTTAAGCCTGTTAATGCTTCTCCAATACTTTTTCAAAGAATTTTATGCATTTATTAAGATATCTTCTTATCCTTCTACCTAAACACTTCATTTTCC